ATCGCGATGAGGTAGGTAACAATTTAACCGACTCCATACCACCCTTTCGTGGGTACGTTGTACGTAGGTGTTGTTCGATATGACGTACCTTATAGTCCGCGGTTTACGACGTAGCGAAATCGATTCTACCAGAAATGCTGCCTGGTGCTTTGTCATTATTGTTATTACACCGATAATGTTAACATCGGTGTAATGGTGTGCATCATTCGATCATTCCTGCGATAGTTGCAAGTGCACAGCTCATCGATATCTGAATATCTACAGGAAACAAGTAAGTGCTATTTTATTTGGCTTGACAGACTGTCCAGTTGCGCTGATCGGCTCTCGAACCTTTACAACCCCTCGGGGCCTCGAGCCCTCCCTTAAATAAGTAGGAAGGTAACAACCCATAATACATTATAAAACTTACCACCTTACAACATCACCCCATTAAACATTTCTCTTTTTATTTTTATTTTGTATTTTCGGGATAAAGTCGACATTAGCTGTTTTTCGTGCATTTAGCTAATAGACACGGCTTTGCTTACGTATACGGAACGTCAACGTCTCATCCGGATACATTCCGTTAACATTTTTTATGAATTCGATAATATTCATGACGTCTAACGATAACAGTTGGCTAACGTTGTATTGTCCGTTTAATGTTCGGAATTGTCCAAATGGTAACGTTTTACCCGTAATGTGCCGGTTTGAATAAATGTTTTCGTTTTACGATGTATTGTTATAAAGTAGTGATATTGATAGCGACAGTTGTGTCATATTCGAGAGTGACGATGTATTTACCTGTATTTATGGAAACCCGTGATTTTTTTGCTGTTAGTTAATATTTGCAATAATCGAATGATACCAAGATCGAATGACAAAATAGGTATTATTATAAGATGAAACAATTAATTTGCATTCAAATTAATATATTTTATTGAAAATTCATTGGGTATATATAGAATAATCCCTAAGATAACACAGGTTCTGGAGGTAATAGTTTTTATTATAAAAAATGTATTATTCTTGAAAAAATTAAATAATCAGTGTACGGAGATTACAACTTACGTTGTAATCCATCTCTAAAGTATAACCTAATACAATGGAACTGTGAGTTGTGTTTACCAATTCCGAACCGACAAATCCATCATCCCGGTTGAACATCACATGAAAGTCCATAGATTAAAAATCGGAAAACAAATTTTCATTTACTGACATAAACAATAATATAATAGTGTTCGATTTGATAATGTATACAATCATAATTTCGTAGTTATGTTTTGAGTCAAGTGGTCTTAATTTATTAAACTGTTATTAAAAATATAGCGTTATTGTTATTAGTTTGTCACCGGTAAACTGCAAAGGGTAACGTTAATGTTTCATATTAATAGTAAACGGAGGAACCTGTCTTAGATAAACATTTTATTTGATATTTTCAGACCATTTTGTGGATATGAATTGGTAGGATTGAGTGGCTATTTGTTTGAAATGGAAAAATTCTTTATAGTCTCATGCGACGATCCAATCACAAACAGTCCATGCACCTTGCGCGCATGTGTGATTATGTGTGCGCATAATACAATAATAAATAGTAATTATATAATATAGTTTTAAGTTCACTGGAATCGAAGGTCTTGTATGACACTACAGTGCACTACCGAGTGAAATACTATCCCAGTGTGTCACAAATAAATTGGACAATTAATGCACATAATAAATTAACAATAAAACAATAAATTTGTACTTCCTCCGTACATGAGTGAAGTGCAATAAAACAATACAACGTGTCGCATGAACATATACGGATTTTGATGTATCTTCAGATAATAAAGACAATGAAATTCTATTTTCTTATGATTCTCAAAGATAACGATTACAAGCTATATTTGTATCGTTATTAAATTTTATGTTTCGGTAATGATTTATAAAAAAAAACATTTAATTTTATTATCTTCAAAAAATTTGAAAACACCTTCTAAAGTGTATTCTTTCGAACGTATTGACGTTCCAACTTTGTACTCTTATCTTAATGTATATGTTTTGTTATGTATGTTTTGTTTACATAAAAATAGTGTATTTTTTTTTAATATCTACCATAAGTTGCGTTTTGAAATTATAAGGAAACGAGATAATATCGTACGTCATTACAGTGTATTATAGTAATCATTATTGTTACGTTTAATCGGTTGCTTTTTTGTGTACAAAATACCAGCAGCAAATTATTTTGAAAACATTTCCCGGCCATCAATATGTAACACGTCCGCGCACAACCATCTGATCCTGAGTCGTAGCCCGAAAGCCGTGGGCTAAGAGTTTGTAAATATTCACCGCCGCGCGCTGCTGCCGTTGAACTTTAATCTCGGTAATTACGATGAATTAGCCGTATGTGTATAAAAAGGTTTTACTTGTAAAAACGGCGTTTTCGTAACGTTTTAACGGCTTCAGCAACAGCAGCAGCTATACAATAATAATTATAATAATATATACGTTTTACTCTAAATGTATATATGTATAGAAGCTCAACTACACTGTGTACGCGTATTATAAATATATACAGAGTACGTCACGAGAATATTGACTATTTTGATGCCGGTGGTGGACAAGGAGGAAGACGTTCGCGAACGCTTCCGCTACTTTTTACCACCTACTTTATGCCAAACCGTCATTAGATATCCTGTGTTACTCATGTATGTCGTATGCATCGTTTCATAATACGCCTAGCGATATACCTTGGTGCGAATTTTCGAGTTCGTGTAATCCGCGAGAAAACTCCGCAGCGAATTATTTTAGGTCGGACGGAGTGACTATCGTTCCGTTTTATTATAGGAGAGTAAATACAACGTAAAGAATGGTTGGAGCTTCAAACGGATTTACATTGGACAAAAATTGTATACCTACATATATACAGAACCATTCTTAGGGCATGTGATGTCCCAGGCCCTAATATATATCGGGGGCCTTTAAATATATAAATTATGTAATTTTCGTACTAATTAAAAATTACTTACTGATTCCATAGCACATTATGCTGTACGAACCTCTACCGTATTCAAAAAACGTAATGTGTATAGAACAAAAAAAGCAAGTTTACACTTTTCTTTTATTTTGACTCGTTAAGACTAGCTGTTGTCTAAATTTTTACATTCAAAATTTATCACGATTCATTTTAACCCTATCCACTAGTGTCATACGAGGAAGAAAACATAATTTTATTTTGTCATTGATAAAACTACATTATTTTTATAAAGAGCTAAATTTAATGTTTTGTTTTAACCTTCCTTAATTGAAAAAATCATTAATTAGTATTATAGTAATAGTTTAAGATTGCAGATAGGTTATGAAAGGGTTTATGGTTATTGTCTTATTACAATAAATTAGTAAAAGTTATATAGTTTCCATCTCTTACTGCTAATCCATTGGACTTGTTTATTTAAAATATATGTGAAGCTTCAGTAGCGTCGTACTATCAAAGTAAGGAATTATTATTGATATATTTAATATAGTTTATGTTTTTTTTGCAATTTTATAGAAATTCAAAATTCATTTTTTGAAACCGGTATAAGGATAAAAATACGAAACCGATAATACGTTTTTCACGAGGCTCCTTACTTTCGAATAACACTAAGACAAAAAAAACTTATATCTAAAGAGGTATTTTCATTAGGAACAACTTAACTTTTCATATTTTATGCTAAACGATTATAAAGTTTTTGTATGGAGAAAAATATTATCTTAATTAATACCTATAAAGTTAACGAAAAATTAATTAATTTTTTTGTTGAACACCTGAACTCCATAAAAAGTGATAGGGTTACTTTTTATTTTTTAAATTATTAAACTCACAATTTTGTTAAATACTCGTCATAAAATATATTGTGTGACTTTAGTGATTTTTATCTTTATTTTTATTTTTAACAGAGTGGCGTTTAATGAAAATGTACAGTCTGTAATATTACACATATAAAGTCAATTTAAGGTTTAGGATAATTTTTCTGTTTTAGAAAATTCGTTTAAATTATCCTTAACGTCTACAACAATATAATTTTCTATATTAAGTAGACCTAATTCATTGATCCTGTATTGAGATATAGTAGACCTTAATTATGTATTGATCCTTGGCATTGCCGAAAATGATCTCTCACAAGTAGATGAACTGACTGGTAATATGATTGCTACTTGAACGAGTTTAAATAAATTTGGAAAAACTTGTTGTGTAAGGCAAGACGGAAATTATAAAAGTTCGCTAATTTAAAATACGGTATGTTAAAAATTCAAAAATTAAATAAAACGGTATCATATCATGAGACGCTAGGATAAATCGACAATTTATTTGACGAATTTCTAAAAGGTCAGTATTTAAAAAGACGGTAACATTTCTGACGTACAACACCAATGGTACCCTATTTCAATATATTATTTAATATAGCATTGGAATTAGTCGTAAGAGAGAGTAACAGTAAGTGAAGTTAAAATTGGAACTGACAAGCAACTAGTATTGGCTGCTTATGCAAATTATTTTGTTATAATGGCAGAAAATGAAGTAAGTCTAAAGGATACTAGGTACATAGAAGTGACTGAAAAATGAATAGAGAATTGGGTTAACAATAAACGAGGGTAAAACAAAATACATGATCAAATGGATTAAAAAAAAAAAAAAAGAATAGGCACAATTTATGTTATAGTCAGTCGATACATTATAAGTGCACACGGAAAAAAAAAATTACTAAAATTTTATATTCACGGAAAATGTAGTAAGAATCACTATTTTATAGGTGGAATGACTAAAACAGTATAGTTATTAAGACTATATAAAAATAGTTGGTTTCAATAGTGAATATTACTATATTTTATAGTTTTTTTTTTTTTCATATGTTTAAATCAACTATATTTTATAGCCCAAATAATTGAATACTATAGCAATAGATCAAATTGCTATAAAATATAAGTCGAACTGTCGAAATATAATTCGGCGAAAACTAAACACGCGCGAGTCGTAAACACAAAGGTAAAATAAGGCACGAGGCAACACGCGCGGCATGAAATAAAAATTCTTAAGAATTTTGTCTCTTGCAAAACATATTATCAGCTAATGGATGGTGGTCACCATTACCCTTATGTCAGTCATTTATTTATCATACTTTGCGACACTTCTACAAGAAAGTTTGACGCTCTACGGCTCTCTAAGTTTCAACGGATTCAAGTCAAAAAAGTAAGTTTTTTACACTATATACTGAATATGTAGTATATTATTAATGTATACAGTTATTTTCGAGTTTTATTCAAATTATTTAAATAAATATCGACTTATAGTTATAAAGTTTATTAAATATAAATTAATTACCGAATTGTATAGGTCTATAATTTCTTAGATACCTACCTACTTAAATCAGGAAACAATTTTTTAAAAGCAGTTAAATTTAAATTTTTAAATGTTTATACGTAGTAGATGTAAAGTATACAATTTATGTCGTGTTTATCGTTGAAATTATACATGAAAAAATATTACTTTAAGGTTCTGAATGGAGCGAAATATAAATATAGTTTTACTATATATGATGTATATTTACTTGGGTATTATTATTAATATTTTTTGTTAACACTTTTCCCTATAGAAATGCTTGCCTGAGAGTTTATATAAGTAACTTTTTGAATCAGAATTTGCTCCTATATGGTACTTTTTGAAAGTATCATAATTTTCGAAATTCTCAATAGTTTTTCCAAAATTTTCCAAAAAAGCCCTATAAAACTTTTTTTTTATCCAAACTTTTTGTAAATTTAAATATAGATAGATAATAATATAAAAAAATATTTTTGTGAAAGGAAATTTTGAATATTTTAAATTTTCTCTAACACTTATTTCTCATCAAAAAATAAATTTTTTTGGTCTCGTTTTTGGTCTCAAAATTTTGAAAATTTTTCAACGACTAAAGCAGAGTTTGAAGTTTCTTATGTTGATAATCCACCAACCACCATCTATGTGAATTCGAGTAATAGTAAAAGTTAATTGCAAAATATTAAAAAATTCTTTATGATAACGAAAATATATTAAATTATAGATCATTTTATTAAAAAAACATTGGAGCAATACCATATGGTCTCCTTATACTACAACACTTCAAGTCATATGGGTCATTAATTTCAAAAATGAGAAACCGACTTTGTGGAATATTAATAAAAGATGAACTTTTTAAAACTAAAGGTGCAAATAAAATTGAGAAAACACAATTTTCGAACATTGCAAATGGTACATATTCGTAACATTACATATAGGTATTCTGACATTTAAAGAATGATGCATGTGGGTTAGATGCAGATGCATGTGTGCATATATTTCCATATATTTCATTAACAATTAATCATTATAAACAAAATATATTAGGCACTGTAAAAATATTTAAAATTATTTTGTATCTAAGATGTTTTTTAATTTATTTTATTTTCAACTCTACAACTATAACTCTATAAAGCAACTTATTTTTAATAATGTAGTAGGTAAATATTGTAGTTTTATACTAAGTATATGGTTTGTTAAAAACTATAATAAATAAAAAGGGGTTTTCATACTTAATAGGTATAGAAGAATTCTTTCCTTCAGAAAATAAATATGTCTATTTCATCCCTTATTATAAAGAAGGTAATAAAGTGAGTCCTAATTGAGGAAAATTGTATGACAAATATTGTAATTTAAAAAAGGAGATAAAGAAAATACATTTTCAAAGTAATAAAAGACATAATAAGGACAATGAAGTTTTTATCAATGAAGAAGGCATCTATTAATTATTTTTAATTTTTAATTTTTAATAAAATATGATTCTTATAATGTGAAATTGACATTAGAATTAGATATTTATTATAATATTAATTTGTAATTCTTATTTATTAATACTTATTGCATACCTATATTAAATAGATATTTTAGATTCAATAAATTGGCTAAAGCATAATATAGAACCAGAAATCATTTTACACCAGTTATGGGCTGAAACTGCTCATTATAGAAATACTAAGCAAATCAACGAAAATGCTATTCATAAATATCCAGCTTTAAAAAAGGCAACAAGTCACATACTTGTAAGTATAGTCACACAAACTACAAAAGGTGTTCTTATGTCATAATAGATTTAAAAAATGTTTGAATTGCAGTATATTTAATTAATATTAAAATAAAAATAAATAAATTTATTGCTTTCAAATACATATTTATTAAATCTTAATAATAAAACAATTTTTTTTTTTCAAATAAATAATTAGAAATATACACAATGATTTTTCTTAGATTGATATGGATTTTTCTCATTTATTACCATCAAAAGACCAATATCTTTTACAAAAATTTGATGTATTCAAAAATAAGTTGAAAACATATTTTAAAAAACAATTAAACTTAAATGTGTTTCAACAAAACATAATTAAAAAAATTATATCACCTGCTAAATTAGGCAAGTTGTTTACATAACTGTTAACATAACATTACTAATAAAAATAAAATTGGAGTTGGTAAACAGAAAGGTTAGTACTTATCTGTAATTTGTTTTAGGTGATGATGATTTAGCAACTAATCAAATACTTCTTTACCTATTCAAACAGTGAATATTAAAATTCCAAAGAAGACTGCCAATGAAGACAATCAAAAAACAGTTAAATATTGTATGTGGAAACCATCAAAATTAGAACAAGCTAGTGCTGTGATAGTCAATATCACAGTAAGTTTTAAATATTTTATTTTGTATTTATCTAATTTTTTGTCTCAAAATTAAAATATTTCTTATAGGTACACAAGTATTTATAGTTTTAATAAAACAACAGAAAACATAAAATCCCAATACCTAATGCTTAACATTTAAAACATAAAATAACACTAAAATATAAATTAAGTAGATACATTTACACTATACACTCAAGTTATAACTAGTATAAGCCATCTTTTCTTAGACTATTTACCTACATTGTTAAATTAATAATTATTTAGTTTGTAATCTAATAGCTGTTGTAAACATTTTATTAAATAATACCAATACCACAGAATAGGTACCTTATCTAAATGATATCTATGATGTGCTTTCTTGTGTCCTTAGGTACCTATCTACAATCTTTCTTTATTATGTAAATATTTTTAAATTTTGTCATCTATATTATATACCAAATTTGATAATTTATAATTATTATTTTTAATATCTTAGTGTTATGATGGTTAACTGTTTTTTATGTTCTTATGAGGCCGAATGCCTAAATTATTTGTTTAGTCATTTTAATGTATATCATGATTTAAAAACAATAGAAACATTTAATTGTCCATATCAGAACTGTTTACGTATTTTTAATAATATTGAAACCTATACAAGACACCTTAAACAACATGACTTCAATTCTAAATCCACAAAAGACATAGGTACCTAATAAAAATTTTCAATCTGTAAATAATAATCTATTTGAACAAACAACAAACTGTGTACCGTCTTCTGATAATGATACAAATTTAAGTTTAAGTATTATAGATGATAATAAACAAAATCATAATTTTCCTAAATATGATGATTTAAAAAATTTACAATCATTAGCTTTAAGTATGATTTGTAAATGGTATAGTGACACAGTTATTCCCCAAAATAAAATTGATATTTTAATTAATGATAACCAAGATTTTGTCGATTCAATTGTTTCAGTTCAGTATTCAGGTCCTTATGATTTAAATAACCGCGACGTTACATTTTTTGTTTCATGGGTAAAAATTAATGGGCTTTTATATAACTCCAAGAGTATGTCCGTTATTCTAAAGGTATGTGATGAAAACAGCGATATGTTACTATTATTTGGGTTTATTAAAAGTATTTTCATTGTCAAAAACAAACCATTTATTATATATGTTTTATATAAAACCATTTTTTATAATGAGCATTTTGGAGCATTTAAAGTAATATTGACCAACAAGTTAAATTTTATAAAACTTAAAGACATAGAAAACAGTTTTCCTGTTCACCATAAAAGCATTAATGATGGAAATATATTGATAAAAATGTAAATAACCAAATTTTTTTATTATTGTACTACCCATATTATATTTATGTTACTTATATTTTTGTCGCTAAGACTACACAATGTAATAACTAGTATGATATTTAAAAACAATATTATTAAAAAGCTGTCCTAATTATATTAAATATTCATTATATACATTTTTTTTTTTTATATTATTTATTGTAAAAAAAATCTATACTATTTGTTTAATGAGAATGCACCACGTCGCACATGGCAAGGCACCAAGATGAAATTTGGAACAATTTAATACTCCACCACTTACAATTAATTATTATTAAATTTGTTATATGACATGCACGGGCTCGACCAGATTTGTGTCTGCCGCCCACGGTGAATTCTCATTTGAAAAAAAGTAATATGTCCATATAATATAATATATTGTATATTTAATCTATGATATGTCCTATTGTTATTTGTTTTTAGAATAATAACTATATACAAAATCTTTGATATGTTGTTATTTTAATTGGTCATCAAATAACCAGTAAATTTGTTACACAAATGAAAAAAATAAATAAATAAATATTGTATTTACAAAAACGAAATTATATTTGGTTACTATATTTAACAACGTTTTTTTAAAATTTTATAGGTAAAATCATGTACTAGTCAAAAAAATAGCAACTATATTAGGTACAATTTGAATGAATAAAATATTGTAATTTTATAGTAAAAATTACTTTATATGACAGCAGGTACTGCTAAATATATAAAATAATTAAGTATAAAATTTGGTTACGAATACTTAATTTTACAGTAGTGGTTATTACGAGTTAGCTCAATAAACTGTTTATTATAGTAAATTAAATTTCTACTGCAGTGATATGAACTAAACCTTCCAGTTCTAACTATTAGAAATTTTAGTGTGTACTACTATAAATACTGTTTGGACAACCAAATAAAAATATACAATGAACTATAAAATTTTAGTAAAAATTACTTTATTATCTAGTAACAATGACTATAATAACTTAACTAAAACATTATAGTAAATCTCACTAATATTATAACTATCCCTATAGCAATTATAAAATACTGTTAAATCTACTATTTTAATAATGGGTTGAACTGTTTTGTTTTTCCGTGCATGATTTAATCGAAAATCGATGAAGAAAAAGAAACGTCAACATATTTAATTATTAAAGATTTTAAAAGTTTGTTTTAAACTTCTGATTTATTTAGAAGATAAAAATCAAACCTTTAATTTTACATGTACATATAAATTTTTTTTTTTTGCGTACAAACTATATTTTAAAAATAGTATTTTTTTTTTAAATTCATACGAATCACACAAACATTTTAATTTAAAATGTACAGATAACGTGTATAATCAATATAAGTAACGGGTATGTTGCAAATTAGTAGACGCTCCAGAGAAACTCTTTATTTATCCATGTGTGTACGTGTTCACATCCCTGCGAGACACGACAAAATACCACTCGTATTTCTGACGCAGTAATGCGTGTTAATACGACATGACATTTGAAGAGCATTTCTCCGATGACTATTACATTATTATTGCGTGCTATATAATAATGTTTATACATATATACACTACTTTTTCTACGTATATATATATATATATTTGTACGTATATCACCATTCAGTGACATTCACTATTCACCGCACGTTTGATTTTGTCCTTTGGCTCGCGGACAACGTCATCCAAAATAATATAATACATATTTACTATGCGATCATGTATACATGTATGTGTGTTTGCGCGTGTGATTTATTTACATGAGAATACACATGCATATTACTTGTAAATATTTATACCTTGTACATGGCTCAGTTGAAATCTATATGAAAATAGCACGCGAGTTATACTGATATTTATGACACACCGTCAACCGTTTATAATATTAATACATTTCGATTAAGGTAAAAATCTTCATTATGTTAGGTATTTCAGCAAGTTGTGTTGTGACAACAACAGTCATATCTTACAAAGAACTTTATTATTAATCTGATTATTTTATTTTGGATAAGGAGAACGAAAACTTCCGAATGCATATTTTGTTGTGCTCGTAACAAAAAAAAAATTGAGAAAAAAAAACACGTTCCCCTTTTAACTGATCAATACTCGTAATGGAATACAGTTTTTTTTCAGTACTTTAAATGTTCGTAACCCAGTTATATCCGTATGTTCCAACTGATGATATCTTATTATTGAAAATTAAATGTGACAAAGCTACATATTTCCTATTATATACCAGACTATAGTAAATTTGTACGCCATATTGATTACACATGTATATATTTATTTATTTTTTGTAATTATTATAAATTATTACATAGCTCTCGTACAGTTCGACATGTGGGCACTTTCGACTATTCTTTCGTCATTAAATCCAAGACGTACTTTATCCGTACTATCATATAGGTAGCCAGTGTAACCTTTTTTTAAGTATGGATTCGTTATTGTTCACGTAATAATTAGTGCCTCCCCCCTCCCCCCTAAGTTGCATTCTCTACTTAGCTTAATAAATTTTGTTATTTTTTTATTTTATACCATTGTTTAAGTATTTACTGTTATTCACTTCTTCCACATTGTTCCTTCACCTTTATATAATGCTGATATTTTGGGATTACTGTGACCTTCCGTGAATTCTTCACCTATCAAAAGTTCATACGTACAATATTTGTGCAATTTTTTTCTCTTTATGAAATTTGCTTATTATTTAAAAAGAATCGCAGTAAAGTATGAGATCTCAATTTGCTGTCAGTAAAAATATATTTTTTTAGGTCCTATTACTTAATTCTCAATCAGTAAAATATCTATTACGCTTTGTTTGGTCTACTGCTGTATATCTCCTAATATAATAACCTCAAGATTTTGTTATAAAGCCGCTACACTACGGCTATATAATTTTAATATATATGTGACCCGGCTGTGAATTAAAATCCATAGTAACAACAAGTTGTTGCTACAAATCATATGAAGCCTATATATTTATCCTTGCACTTTTAGCGTATGCAAAAAAATATTTCATGCAGTATAGAGCAGAAAGACTGAACCAGTAAAATTTGTATAATAGCCAATCAAAAATCCACCACAACTAAAACACATTATTTTTGCGTTTTATAGTAAGTATGATGCACTTTGGTTGCCTATTATACAATATTTATTGTTTGCCAACTTAGTCTTTCAGCCCCGTATTGTATATTATACGATGGATACGAACGAATATAATACTGTACATAATTCACCCAGCTTTTGTTCTTCAAGTGAAAAACGTATATTGTATCTAAAAATATCAATTTAGTAGCTACGTAAATAGTTTATATATCACGTATGTGGATACAGTTTTTCGAAATAATGCATACCTTTAATATACTCGGCAACGCTTTGTAAGATTATGCTAGTATAAATATTCCTTCTACACTATTACAGTCAAATTGGAAAATTGAATAATACCTCCTATGCTTTTGTACAACTCTAGAGATATATTCCTTTATGAACGACTACATATAAAATATGTAAGTTTTAGTAAGAGAATGTTTTTCTTCCAACGTACATTAGCGTTCAAAAATATATTTGACTACACAGGGCATTCCACATAGTGTGTCTTTGTCTGAGTCCCAGTAGAGGCGTAGCTGGAATTTTTTTTTTTTTTTAGGTAGGCCCACTATAAACTTTCTACTCACCGATGGAAATGGGGAGTTTTCCCAATTTTTTTATTAACTTACCATAATTTCTAAGTTGTCAATGATTATTCTTATTAATTATTGAATAATTAATTACTTAAAACAAATATACACGATATTAGCGGGCCAAATCGGAAAGAGAGAACAGAGGTATTAATTATATATGCAGGATGAACGCCCAACCGAATCGCATTTATTTCCCTGTGGACCTGCCGAAAAGCATATCGATTAAACAATAGTATTGTCCATCCCGAAAACTTTATTAGATACACGCCTAAACGTATATATGTTTTATAGACGTCTATTACCCTGCCCCCCCCCAAATCCAAAAATATGTGACTTTTTTCATGCTTATAATAAGTACGTAATTTGTATGAATTTGTAGGACTATTTTCAGAATTTGAACAGAGCTTGTTCACCGAGAAAAATTCGTTTTTCGCGGGAGGGGCTGGAATAACATTATTCCAACCCCTCCCAACAGTAAAAATACACGTTTTACAAAAATTTATTTCGCGAATAATTAGTACGTAATTTGTATGAATTTGAACGACCAATTTACCGCTTTTATTAATAGCAAAATATTATATTAACAAAATATAAAATTTTTTTAGAAGAATTCTGTATGCTTAAAATCTCTTATATCATTATACTCATAATTTTATAATTATTATTTATACAAAGGCGTACTGCAAACATACTATTCCTATTTTAAACATCTATATGTTAGATAACAATGGTATGAGATAAAAATAGTAATTATTTTTAATAATTACGTACTAATTATTCGCAAAATAAATTTTTGTAAAACGTGTATTTTTATTGGTGGGAGGGGCTGGAATAACGTTATTCCAGCACCTCCAGCGAAAAATGAATTTTTTTCGGTAAACGAGCTCTAAACAAATTCTGAAAAAAGTCGTACAAATTCATATAAATTACGTACTATAAGCATGAAAAAAAAATCACAGATTTGTTGATGATGGGTGGGGGGGGGGAATGAACATGTTTTATAGTCATCCCGCAGCGAGACCAACGCATGAGTTGCACACACATATTTACCTTACCTGGGTGTATTGATAGTCATCACTGCGAATATAGGAATAGAACCGGTTAGCACTCAACCGGCTAGCTATATTTTTATATATATATACATG